CTTTCAATACGCAGATGATACTTTGTTACTTTCCCGCCATATAAATTTGCGCAGTGCACTTAACCTGTTACAAGTTAATGCTACAAAGGTAATGGACTGGTTTCAAACGAATCTTATCAAAATTAACGTTCAAAAAACAAAACTGATGTGTTTCTGCAGTCCATTGAAACATAAATGCCTTGATTTTCCATTTGTGCTCCACACGTCAAAGTGTGCTAGCTGCAGCTGCTCACCTATTGAATATGTTTTCACAGCGAAATACTTGGGGTTATATTTTGATAGTGACATGTCCTGGAACTCGCATCTTAGCTATGTTGCTAAAAGGCTCCGAAGTGTATCATGCATGTTATATTCCACAAAATCATTTCTTCCTTTTTCTGTTCGAAAGATGGTGGTCAACTCTTTAGCCTATGGTGTTTTACGTTATGGTATCACAGTCTACGCAAACTGTTCGATGATTTGGCAAAATAAAATTGATAGCATATTGAGGGGAATTCTGAGGGGCGTAGCTTACGCTCCTCTCGATACTCCAAGTGACGAACTGTTTTTATCTTTGCGCTTGCCGCGTTTTTCAGCTCTTTTTAAAAGAAGTGTCATTATGAAGCATTATTGGATTACCACCTTTAAGACCCCCCGTGTTTCCGAGCGTATTCTAAGGAACTGTGAACGCTTTATCATTCCTCGTGTTTATACCAAGTACGGAAAACGATTACGCTCGTTTTATGTGCCTGAACTTTTTAATGCCCTTCCTGATTCCTTTTTAGAGTTGAACTCAAAACGTCAATTAAAGAGACAGCTAAAAACAATATGCTAAACTTTTAAATACTTATTCTTGTCCCTACATTAGCTCCTTCAAGTGATTGTTAAGTACTATTTTTCTTTTTGTCGTGTTTTTGCTTTTTTGATTGACCTTGTCTTTGTAGCTCTAAGACATTCTAGATGATGTACGGTTTTCTTTATTTGTATCATTCAGTATTGTAGTGTTATAGTTGTTCTTTCAGAGTTATAGTGACCTTGTTTCTTTTTAAGAGATCCTTCTTGGTGTTCGGTTTTCTTCGCTTGTATTCTTATTTTTTTCAGATTTTTTAATATATTTTTTTTTTTCTTTTTTGCATTTCAAATAATTCATGGCTTTTGTTTTGTTTTCATGTGAATAGTTTTGCTATTTTCTACGCCGCTGCCGGGTCCAGTCCCACAAGCCGCTATTGGCTTTTGACGGACCCGCATTTGTATATATTGTATTTATATTTGTGCAATAAAATTATTATTATTAAATTATTATTATTATTATTATTATTATTATTATTATTATTATTATTATTATTATTATTATTATTATTATTATTATTATTATTATTATTGCATGTAAACTACACATACAAAAACAGACCTTCCGAAGCCTCATTGGGCTTGTCTGGCAGCGTTTGGCAGACACCGAACGAAACACACACCACAAATGGAGCACATAAGATAAAAATGAAACGAAACGAAAAATTAAACCAAGGTAAACCAAAAAAAAAAAAGGGGGGGGGGGGCTATACTTTAATGCTTCTCGGTGCTTTCTTCCGTTTATACCTTGTTGTGGCATTAATAACACTCAACGGGAGTTTATTAAAGCATGCTGGGACAGTACAACCATTTCTTGTAAAACACCGAGGCGTCGGATAAATCTCTTTTGGTTTGACATTACGGGCAGGGACGTACGGGGTCTTAAAGCTGCTAGCCCAAAAATGTCTATGCACGACACTTTCAATCGATAACGAGTTAAAGTCAGGCATAGATAAAGTCGCGAACACATCAACGTTTTTATCAAGGCCTAAATCATAGGAAATGTTATTTAACCTAGAATGTTGAATTGTGTTAATTCTGGTTTGCCAACGTTGGGCACAATGACCGTACACAGATATGCCATAACGGAGTACACTGTAGCCTAGAGCATGTATAATAACTTTTCGGACTGATAACGGCATATTGTATCGAATTTCGTACAGAAAACAAGACACTGAACGAATCTGCTTACAAATATGAGCTGGATGAGAGTTCCAGGAAAGTTCATCGTCGAAAAAATTACCAATATACTTCACAGTTGATGTATATTTTACCGGTTCACAAGCACACAATAAACAATTGGGCGCATGTAGCAATAAAGAAGAGGCTGGCCTAACTTTTTTCAAGGGGTTATGAAAACAAATGAGCTGCGTTTTCGAAGTATTAACAATAATTAAATTAGCTGCAAACCAGTCCATAATTTTATTCGCAGCAGCTTGCAGAGAAGAGATTGCATCTAAATAATTGGTAGCTCTGGATAAAATAACTGTATCGTCAGCATACTGAAACAACGAATTGACACAGCGTTGTAGAGGTCATTAACATAAATATTGAACACTAATGGGCTCAAAACAAATCCCTGCGGTACACCAGCTTCGATTGACGAAAATGTGCTCTGGAAATGCCCAATTGAAACACACTGTCGTCGATCGCTTAGAAAGTTTAGAAAATATAAATTCACCAATGTCTTGTTGTTTCTTTTTTTTTTATTTGCAAATGTGTAAGGCTTTGATTTTCATACGTGCTCTACTGCTGTTGTAATATGAGGGTTAAGGTCCACTCAATCTGTTTCTGACAGTTTTCCCCCTTGTCTCCACCGACTTTGATTGGGAAAATAAGGGATTATTATTATTTATTATTATTATTATTATTATATTCGATGAACTGTCTAGGGCTTGTTTCGTACTGTTTATTTTAAGGAATAGCCCCTTTACGATATATATATAGAGAGAGAGAGGGAGAGAAAAAAAAACGTAGTGCAGGATGACGAAAAGTATATACGGCAGAAAACACACTTGAGACGGTTGTTGAAGTTTTTAAAACGTATTATTCGTAAAGTTCGTCGACGTTTTGGCCTGAGACAGACCTTTTTCGAGACTGAAAAGACTGAAAAAAAGAGAGTCTCGAAAAAGGTCTGTCTCAGACCGAAACGTCGACGAACTTTACGAATAATATGTTTTAAAAACTCCAACAACTGTCTCAAGTGCGTTTTATATATATATATATATATATATATAGTGGGCATGGTGGCATAGGAGCCAAGGGGCCGAAGGCGTATATATAACGAAGTGGAGAACTCACGGTGAAAAACAACAAACAGAGGAAGTTTAATCGACAGTTTCGCCGAGAGACTCGGCTTCGTCAGGAGATGACATGAGAGGAGATGACATGACAGGAGATGACATTTTTGAATGTCATCTCCTGACGAAGTCGAGTCTCTCGGCGAAACTGTCGATTAAACTTCCTCTGTTTGTTGTTTTTCACCGTGAGTTCTCCACTTCGTTATATATATATATATATATATATATATTGTTCGATACAGACTGTCGCCTAGTAATACAACACCACCCGCACAAACCCAAGTTCTAACAATGAGCATCCCTATCGATTACAGGCTTCCATCGCAGATAATAAAATCCCGCTCCAACATAAAGTTATCAATGGGAAAGAGACCGTAAAAGCAGCGGCTGAACTCGCTCGCGGTAAAAGCCCATTGAGCCGGACTCTAATGCACGCGCATTAGCCCAGAGAGACTATCGAGTTCAATTGTTGGCCACCGAAGCGCGGCGGAAATGCTTTCCGCCACGCTGCGGTCGTTCCGCGGGTACGCGATCGATCGGGACGGTTTCAAACTCGGACTTTCCCAATGGTCGAGGTATGCACCGCTCTACGTTGCACAGTTGTAGAATCTATCGGATCAGACTGTTGGCAAGTCACGTTTACGACCGCGACACTGAACTATAAACAAATATTTAAAAAAAATTGTTTTGTTTTTTTTTGCACGTGAAACAATATGTTGGAAAGGATTCCAAAATCCGAGAATGTTCAATCACCTGGCCATTTCTCAGCGAGACAAAAAAAAAAAAAAAAAATACAGGTTCCCCCTTTATACCTCGGATGTGTGGGGGCAGCCCTGCGCTTTAGATCAACAGTTTCCCGACGCACATAATATCGAACACTCGGGACTTTCGATCCCCGTGCATAACCTACATAAAATTTGTCACGTTGTTTTTTTTTTCTTTTTTGTTTTTAAAAGAGCATATATATCAAAACACACGGATAAATGAATAGATGGGTTGTAACCTTCAAATTCAGCGGCGGTTTTCGCCACCTAGACATATAGATTTTTTTTTTTCTAAAGCTCAATCGCTAAGTTGATTAGATGTCTTATCCATAGGTGTGTACAGGTTTTCAATGACGGAATTGCAGAACTCCTTTCCGACATCGATCAGGGAATCCCCGTGTGAATGATGTAATGGAAAGTGCAGCTATCGTCTTGAAGTGGTACGAAACGAAGCACGATATATTTGTTTAAACTCACAAAAGTTTTTTTTTCTTTAATTGACGCGTTACGTGCAAATAAAGATTTGCTGCCTCGCGTGCCAACACCCGCGCAAGACGTCGTTTCGCATGCAGCGAACAAAATCATGAAAAATCTGGTTGAGTTATTTTACTTCCGTAATGTTTACTTCGTGTAGAAGTATCTCCAAGGTACACACATTTCCAGCGCTTATCATCGCCCGAGCGAAAACGGCTGAGTCACCGGGTCATGAACGCATGGGAGGCGTACGCAATTCTCCAGACGAGAGCTCTTGCGCATGCCCAGAATGCGTTCCAGATCCCAGTAGACAAACATGGGAGAGCACAGATGGCGACTGTTGGAGCGGTCGATAGCGTGAGCAAACTCATGCCTGTTCGTAAACAGCTCGAACGTGTATTCAAATAGCACTTTATGTACCCAATAAACGTTTGTTCGCTTGGCGGATCGGACGGACACGTCAAAGCGACGTGATCAAACCTGTGGAGGAGCCCTTGGATCATCGAATCGACCGCGCCACCCCTGCCTTGATCACCGGGGGGGGGGGGGGGGGGGGGGGGGGGGGGGCGACATGTCTACACATTTATGCTGCCTTGCGACGCTCTAAGACGCAAATGTCGAAGCGAGAACTTACGAAGCGCGAAGAATTGTTGTTGCGGACTGTCTTGGCGTTCCCGAAGGCTTCCAGGATGGTGTTGGACTCCAAAATGACGTCTTTGACGTGCTGAAAAGAAAAACAGCAATTGAGTCAAAACGATGTTGCCTACCATAAACAATTGCTTTGTAACTTTTCGGTACTCTAATTATCTATCGGTACAACAATACGTGTAACTTCTATTTGTGTAAAAAAAAAAAAAGAAAAGCTAAAAACCATTTACCTTTTAGTCTATCAATCATTACCAAAGCACCTGAGCGGGAAGCACCAGTATTTAGTATTATCTATATATACTGTAACTAGAATATAAATTAGTTCAACCTTAGTTCAAACTTATACGATCAATCACTAAATAAATAAATCTATCAATCAATCAATCAGTCATCATTTAAACACCTGCACATGTGGATAACCCCCCACCTCTTACAAATATATATATATATATATATATATATATATATATATATATATATAATACGGAGTTAGTTATACAAAAAAAAACTCAATTAATTATGATCAATTAATCAAGTAAGATTATATCACCTGCACACGCGGACCGCCACCGGAGACCTGGGCGATGTACGACATGATGTACTTGGCCGCTACTGTCTTGCCGGCGCCACTTTCGCCCCTGCATTAAAAGAGACACACAAAAAAACACATTAAAAACACTTCAAGCGGCCCTGGAGCATCGCAGTCACTTCACTCGGTGCGTAACATTAATGGCAAAAAAAACTTGACGTCACTGCGTTCTGCTGGTAATTATTCTCGATTGTTCTTCTCAATATAAAACCAAACAAACAAATTCGATGGTGCGAAATGTCTGCTGCAGAAGGCTCCAGCGGCAAAACTTCCACAACGGCCGTTGATGTGACGTTAGTGCATGTCATGTAATAGTGGGCAACATTTAGTATACCCCGTTTCACACAGAGTTCGAGCGCAGCCAACCAATGGAGCCAATCAAACAAGAAAAAAAGTGAATCGTCACGCCTTTCGTCGCCTTTGAGCGCTCGCCGCCGGCTAAACCAATCGGGCACGGAAAAGAGCGCGGAATCACACCGCATTCACCGTACGTCATTCGTTCCGAACGTTACTTGGTGGAAACATTTAAAGGTGCTTTTTTTTTTCTCTCGGATTTTTGTTTTACAAAGAAGTGAGTATCGGTTAATTCGCGACGCAAAATATAGATATAATGCACAATTGTAAGCCATCAAACATAAACGTCATAGTTAGCTCCGGGTTATTTTCATGTTCATTCATTATAAAATAAATGCCACTAAGATGTGGATCGCTAGTATGTCCAAACACAAAGAGCTAATAGGAAGAAAAAGGGGTAGCTACACGCAGTACACGTTGTTATATATCGAGGACATTCTGCTCGTTAAGGCAACTCTATACGCGACAGCAGTGTTGTATACGGAACGGCGTTCCAAGGAACGACGTTCCTGAAACTCGTTCCGAGGATCTGCGTTTCGAGAAAGGAAGGAACGCCGCTGTTTCATCTTGCGGTGGTGGAACTGGAACGTTTCGTTTTTGACGAAACGGCAAGAGGAACGGCGTCTCTCTTTTTTTTTTTTTTTTTTCCTTTCTTCTCGTCTACTTAACTTTAATACCAGAGTTTGACAGGCATCTAGGGTTTTTAGTAGCAGCTATTTCAACGTCGGATAACAAAATAACTCCAGTTGTTATTTACAAAACCGCTTGTAAAAACGTTTTTTTTTTCTTTTTAGATTTTATACAAACGTTTTGCTACGGAAAGGAAGAATGAACGCCCGTTTGTTATGCCCGCTTCTTTTGCTTCCCGACGACAGACATGGACGGCAGTCGACTTCCAACGGATATTTCTCGAATGACAGTATAGCCGAGTAACCCAGAGACACGACGCCACACCCCTATTGCCGGGCTGAGGTGTCGGACGTCACCTTCCTCGCACGTTTTTAGGAAAGAGGCGGGGCTCCAAAAAAGGGGGGGGGGGGGGGGGGGGTGGGGGGGGGCGAGGCAGACTTCGCGGAGCTAAGAAGTGTTTGAGGGGTAGTCGAAAAAATTGGAACAGAGACCATAGCGGCGTGTCGACACGTATTATTCGTATAATATAAATAATGTAATTCAATTCGAATATTTTCACTCGCTCGCTTTATTTTACGTACGGATTATCCGGCACAATATGCACACTAAAAAAATCCGTTCTTAAAAGGTTCTTCGACGCCTCAAGCCTACGGCTCCCTGGCCCCTAAAGCACTATCGCCCCCTGGCGCACTAGAAAGGCAACTGGGCCATAAAGAATTCAATCGCATCAGAAAATGAGCTCAAAAGACTACCTTATAAGTTTTTTTGTTTTTTTTACAAAGGAACCTTTTAGGGGGTACTTAAAATAACTTTTTAAAGTGCGAAGTATGGACAGGCCAGAGAACCCCTTGCAGCTCTTTTACGACCAAATTATGTTCTAGAGTATGGAATTAGCGTACGCAAATAAGACTTTCCTGCAATGGGACGTTCCGGTCGGAGAAATTTAACGAGAACGTCATCATATCGCAAAAGTGAAACTCGCCCAGGGAACTCGTTCCCGGATTGAGAAGAAACAAAAAACAAACCTTCGTACCTTTTTTTTTTTTTTTTTTTTTTTTGAGCAACGTTTGCAATACTGCGCGGTAATAGCAAGTTTTAGAATAGGGGGCCCACAGCTTGGGGCACCCAAGCTGTAGGGCCCCCTATTCTAAAACTCGCTAATTAGGAAGCGTAGGTATAGGCACCGATGAGGTGTGAGACCGGCCCCGCTCACGCCTGGTGGGACAGGCCAAAAAAGAACAGTGTGGGCGTGTTCCACCCCATGGTAGTGGTATTTGGACTATTTAAATACATGTACAAATACCGTAAGCTTGCGCAAAAACATGGAGATACTACACGCTGAACTTGCATAATACAAGAACTGATAAGCCTGAAAAGAAAAAAAGAGCTGTGAGCACTTCCTTTTACTCTAAAAAGAAAAAAAAAAGAAAACAGAACATACTCTTTACAAGCTTTTTCTCAAATCGACGATCATCGAGTTGGAGAGTTGAACCAGACTCGATATTCTAAACGGTTTCGTCGTCAAAACGCTCTTTTTTCTTTCTTCCTTTTATTTCGTTTTTTAGGAAATTGCGCTCAGCGCGCAACTCGTCGGATTCACCCGAACAGAAACACAGCCCCACCGATTTAGAAGCTCAACTACCGAATTGCACGTTTCCACGACGCATGGGAAACGCCATCGCTGTGTTGATACTCTATTTATTTTGTATTTTTGAGGGAAAGGGGGGTACTACTTTGCAGTCCCTTTCCTCTCCACGATACCTATCTTTTTTTACGCTGGTTTCAATCTTTTATATTGGTGCTTCGCTTTTTTTTTTTAAATTTTTTTTTCTCATCGAAACTCCCAAGGGGAATTTCGATGCGCTTCGATGAACAACAATCGGTTTTCTGTGGGCGGCTCGTTTGAGCGGGTCTGATCTGCGCAATACCGGAAATTCCTTCTCTAACTTCAGTCTCTTTTCTTTTATTTAACGCGAAGAAAAACAGAGGAGGAAAGACACTTCAAAATATTGATCCTTTCGTTACATTTCTGCCCTACCTCGGAAACCGAGTCAGTGTTGGGGACGCAACTGAAGTCCTAAGGTCCGGCAGAACGTGGCCGACGAAATATGTGAAGACTAATGCGTTTTTTGCGCGCTTGTGGGGTGTAACCAAAGACATATTCCCAACTGCCAAATAAAATAGAACTTTTTATTTCTTTTGAGGCTATCTTCCGCTTTTGACCTATACACTCTAAAAAAAAAAAAAAAAAAAAAAAAAAACCCGTGCGTCTACTTTTCCGCACATGACCTGAATTTATGGAGGAAGCTCAGCGAATGACGATGCCGAAACATATGATTAGACCAAAAAAACGCAGCCTGAGTTGTGACATTAAGCAATGCAAGCGTGACGTTTTGCATTGCTTAATGTCACAACTCAGGGCTGCGTTTTTTTGGTCTAAAAATATGTTTCGGCAACGCCATTCGCTGAGCTGCCTCCGTAAGTTGTGGTGATTGACTCTCCAAGGTGTTGTAAGGGAAAGCAGACGCACGGGCTGTTTTTAGAGTGTAGGACAGAGGCAAGGCGCGTGCTCATCACGCTCTGTTGGCTGTCGTCAATACCTCCGCACCCCATCTCCGGAAAAAAAATAATAAAGAAAGCGGAGGAGAGGACAAGAAGGACGTAAAATGTGAAAAGCCGTGCTGTTTACATGGTTGATGTCCTTACCGAGCACGGGACGCTCACGCCGTAACGTTCATTCATTGTCTGAAAAGCGCAAGCGCGCGCGTGTATTCTTTTTTTGTTGTTATTGTTGCTGTGTCATGTGTGTCACGTGTGGACATCCCTGAATGCGGGCAGTTTCGTGCAAGCACGAAACGCAGAGGAAAAAACGAATCATTGGAATGAGAATTAGTGGACAAAATTTACAGTTGCATTCCGATCCATCGATTGAAATTGCGGATTTAAAAAAAAATAATGTTTTTATTGTTGTCAAACATTAACGAACGTGACGTGTTAGTTTTTTTACAATATACGTGTCCCTTTTCTTCGCATTACAATTTCCTGCGTGGCATCGTGCCTATTATATGGTTCTATTAATGCGATTCCTTAAAAAAAAATGTATTTTTTTAGGTAAAAAGAAATATGAAAGTCGTTTAGAAGTTCGGGTGGTTCTCATTTGAACCCGTTCGCATTTCTACCTTCTCGCCTTTACCTTCTCATTTCAACCCAGCGCAAAACAACTTTCGCTTTTCTCCCTTTCTCACTTAAACCGTTCTCAAAACAAAGCTCCGGGTTTCGACCCTTCTCAAAACGACTTTTCTCCATTTTAACGTTTCTCGTTTCAAAATTACTAAAAACATACTTTCTGGTATTGACCATTCGCAAAACGACTTTTATCATTTTAACCGTGTACACGATGAGGCTAGGGAAACGTCCAGGCACCTAAAGCTTTGTTGGGCCTTGAAATGCTTCTTGGAGAATGACATCCAGAGGTCATGCCAATCCACGCCATGACGGACGGCACTCAGCCAAACATACAATGTTCGTAGATCTGGACGACCACTTCGACATAGGTTGTAGATAATTCGATATGTTCGAAGGACATGCCACATGAGCATAATTTGCACCCGATGATTCACGACTGAAATGAAGAAAAAAAACTGTACCGGGTAAGAAAGCCCTCAAGCTGCGCAACATTCGAACCCGCGCATTTCGAAAAAAGCGCAGCAGCTCCACATGACTGTCTGCATCCCAACGCGTTATGGCGCGCACAACTCCCTGCATTAGAGCAATGAACAGCGCCCCGCGTAGACGTGCTCATCTCAAGGAGCATGCATATAGTACTCGCATTCTCGACGTAACCACCGAACCCGAATTAATCCAACGTCATGATCTCGCCGGCGAGCCCTGACCGCCGGCAAGCCCTGACCGGTGGCACCGGCGAGCCCTAGCCGGTGGCACTGGCAACAAAAAAAGCGCCAGCGGCACACCACGTGACCTTCTCCACCCGAACACAAAGCACCGTGAACTGGCGTTTTTATTTGCCTGGGCCACGAGTGAACTCTGTTAACTTCTTCCTCGCTC